TCATTAAGGGCTCATAATAATGATTCCTGATTGGCCTTGGCGCAGTGCCCTCCAACATTAAAGCCTGCTGACGGTGTCCATGTTTAACATGAACATCTACCACTGCAGATGAAATGGGTCCACTTTAAACTTGTACCCCAAAGTCTCTGGAAGCACACAGAAGCATGAACTGATTGCTTTTCTTGTCGTTTTACCGCCTGATGGCCCAAAGGGTTAAATGTTTGTAATGTGAAACGGGTTCAGCAGATCACCTGTTAGCATATTAAAGGCCAGTGTCTTCAGTTCACTCAGGATCTTCTTCAGGTGAAGAGGTTTAGTCAGCCAGGTTACAGTAATGCTGATTGTAATGGATAAAGCTGTGAAAGTAGCAATCCTGGTTTCTGTGTATGGTAGTTAAACCTGATTTTCCTGGTCACTGCAGCACCTGGAGCTGGTTTCCAGCACTGAGTGGGTTATTTTTCTCTTTTTTAATGAAATTGTTCACTTTAGAATGATATGTGACAAAAACAAAAACTTTTAAGTCCTCACATTTCAGAAGTTGCAAGAATTTTACTGGACTTTCGACTATTAAACTGAGACACTGTGAGGAAAAGCTGTTTTTCAGTCCACTTTAACAGACAAAATACTAACATGATATCGAAACAGGAAGCTACATCCCTCCAGAATAAGGCCCAGATGAGACTACTTTCACTAATCTGGTTACTTTAGTGCTTGTAAACCTATTTAGTGGCACATGGATGAGTGAAGCAGTGGTGTGAGTGAGTAAAACCAGTCAAATCTTTTTTTGTTGTTCTGCTCTACATACAGTGAATGTCTTGTAAATGTTTATGATCTCACCTGTCAGACTTTATCACATGTATATTTTCAAATGTAATTTTTATTAAAAAGGAAAGGCTTTATCATAAAAGAGGTTGATGATCTCTTTTGTTCATTCACATAATTAGAAAAGCAGCATAATGTTAAAGAAACGCCCGAGTGTTACAGTGGAGTTTGTCCTCAGTGCTTCCTGGCAGAACTGCTGTCGTTTTTTTCCAGGATGGTGACTGGGAGGAAGGGCTGCCTTAAAGCTGACGTCAAAGAGCAAAAGTCTTGTGCAGTAAACACCACTGATAAATAACTGGGTGTAACATGATGGGCTGCAGCCGATCACAAGAAAGTAATTTCACCTCTTTTAAACCTCACTGGTACACGTCCACGCTACAGCAGTGTTTCGTCTGTGATTTTAGTTTGTTGTTAGGTTGCTGTGATGTGGTCATAAGATATCAATATTATGAAAATAAAATCATGTAATGCTCTTCATAGGTGTTAAGTTTTGAAATGCACACTTGGGTCTTCTTAGCTCATTCGTAGGTTGTTGCTATGCAATGCGATGATGTTGTAATATCTGATATGAATAACAACCTTCAGGGGATGAAGATCTACCCGTGTGCCAAGTTTGGTTGCTTAACTCCTGAATGTGTAGAAGTGTTTGAAGGCAACAATCAAACAAACGTATTACAGTAAGGTTGTACCGAAAAAGACTGCAGGGTGCTTCTAGATTTATTCGGGTCTTTCAGTTCAGTTAATCAATATTAAATATTTACAACGGGACACCCTCTCTCGATGGCATCTGCAACTACAACAGATGTGAATATGAAAAATACCACAAGAAAAACGATTTGTCCCGTAAATGTAATATTTTTCACCTTTCATTAAATAAAGCAGGCCCAATGACGGAGCCCTGAGGAATTCCACGTGTTGTGAAATCTAGCTTTTAAGTATTTTAGGTTCCTTGACTCTAAGGAAAGTTTGTGTAATTGTATTGTCCAGTACCAAGATCCAAACTAGAGAACAAAATCAAATTACAGGCTCCCGCTATAAAACAGAAACTGGGAGGTCCTGAGTATGTTAAAAGAACCTCCAACATGTTTGATTTCCTTCAGTTTAAAAGGATTTAAATTGCAGGTTGAGCACTGTATGCAGCAGAGACTTGGAAATCAACTGCAAAGATCAACCGCCATCTTGACGTCTTCCAACAACGTTGTCTTCAACGGCTGCTCAAGATCACATATCGGGATCGCGTTACCAAGAAGTATATCGCCGTGCGGGAGCCGCTCCATGTCCAAGTCACCAAGCGTCGGTTCAGATAGAAAACTATTAGCTTAAGTGTTTGCATGTCTA